GATATTCTTATATGGTAAAACCCCTAACAATGTGTTAGGATATTCATCCATATCCTAAGAGAATTATTGGTCAATACCTATTGGTTAATTCCTATCGGTCCAAATTTTGTTCGTTTTAACTGTCAAAGTCAAATACTTCAATGTTGTCTCTTATTGGTTGTCCTAAACTGTCAATGTCACACACTTCGATGCTGTTTCCTATTCGACCAAAATGTATTAATACGCATTGTCTGTAACGTTTTATGACCAGGACCAGGACCATTTGTGTAGCATGTCGTGTCACCGGATCCTCGATACTCGCTCTCATTTTCAGACTAGGTAAACTCGCAATAGTTCAAGTATATCAAGTTGACGTGTTTACATGCAGGCGTAACACAATGATAAATGAATTCTGGTAAATAGTCGAATACTATATATATTGTAGTATGTACAATGTGAAGGAGCGTCATCGAATCAAAATGATCAATTCGATATCTCAAATTCCAAAATAATCATGTTCATATACAACATTTATGCCAATTTGAAGGTTAAAAGAACCAACAGGAATAGGGAGACTGCGGAGTAGTAAAACAAGATAAGAACAGTTCCAGATGACATACACCATGTTATGGGAATCTCATGTACCCAGGATCATCAAACCAGCCTTCAAAACAAAGAAAAAGGACATTCCAATGAACGTCATCTAATGCTATGCACCTACCAACGACTACAATGACGACGATAAAGATCAATTCTACGAAAGGCATCAGTCAATCGTCAAGAAACGCTCATCAAAGTATTTGACAATTCTGACGGGAGACCACAATGACAAGGTTGGCATGGACAACACACGTGGCAGCAACTGCAAAAATATTTTACATTTTACTTAAACAACATTTGGAAGGTAGAACAAGTACCAACAGACTGAAAACACGGATACCCCATCAAAATACCAAAGAAAGGTGATCTCAGCAAGTGCGAGAACTACAGAGGCATCACTCTTCTCTCACCACCAGGCAAAATCTTCATCAGGGTAATCTTAAACAGGATGAATGACAGTGTAGACGCCCAACTTCAACATCAACAAGCTGGATTCCGTATGGATCGATCGTGTACCGACCACATTGCAACATTACGCATCATTGTGGAGCAATCAATTGAATGGAACTCACCACTCTAAATCAAATTCATCGACTACGAGAATGCACTTGATAGCGTGGACAGGAAAACACCATGGAGGCTTCTTCGACACTACGGCGTCCCTGAGAAGATAGTCAACATCATACGTAAAGAAGAAGACCAAAGAACACATTACGCCGAGAAATAGAGAAAGACATGAGAAAATGAACAAACATTGCAAAGCTCTGTAAAGAAAAACCTAGGACAGAGTTGGTTTAAATATAAATGCAGATCGAAAGACAGCGATGGAAATAGGTCTCACTTCATGTATTTACTTAGACCTAATTTTCCTAGATTTACTCAATATCTAAACTTCTGAAACGTTGCTCACATGCTTCAATGAAGTTTCCCTTTGGGTTAAATAGTTAAGTAATCCTAGTAAATTTGTGCGGGTTGTTCGTGAAGGGTTTAACAACGAACCATACGTTATCAACCTTTTTAGAAAATCGACCAGTAAACGGTTTAACATTAAGTATTGGAAACCAAACCTGTGCTATTGTATGATAAGATAGGTCAGTTTCTACGGAGTAGATATGCATGTCCGAAGCGCTGAACACTATGAAATTCTCATATGCTCAATGCTAGTTTACTATTTCCGTCATCGATATTGGCGATTCAACATAATAGAGAGCTAACGAAAGTAAATAACCATTATACACGGTCAAGAAATTTTAGTATCTCGAAAAATCCAAACTTTCCATGTCGATAAGTTAGATCCATAAAATGGCACTTTAACAGTTTTATTCTAAGAGTATCCAGGTTTCACCTATTACATGTCAATTATATCATCCTGAGTTGTAGAGTGTCATATGTCAGTACTAAATATATTAAAACTGAATAACTTTATGGCAGCAGAATAAGGAGAAACAAAACCTGACATAGAAGGTTATCCTTCTAAGTTTTCAATGATCTCATCAACTTGAGAAAAATTAGGCAGTAAATACATACAAGCATAACGAAGTAGCTATTCGGTCGGAAAAAGTTGCTTTTAGGACTGAGTTATAAACTTCTTTACAAGTATCCTGATTCCCAAATGTTGTCACATCAAATTGCGTAGAACAATATTTGAAACATATGACGACTAAACCACACGCCAAAACACAGCTCTTTCAGTTATATTAGTTAGCATCAGTACATGTTCATCAGAGTAGAGGCAAAAACTCAGAAGTAAGTGACAAGTAACAAGAAAAACAACAACATCTAGAACATAATCACTAAACACATTCACACTATCATGATCGGTTCTTGAACTAATCTGTGGTTCTTAACAACTTCACTAAGGACTCAGACCAATAATTACTTCTTAGAATAATACCTAGTATTTATGTGGTCACATTCGGCTTTCTCAATTTAATCCGAATTTAGTAAGCATTCCACATTACAGTGGACAGTAACTTTGCGTATACAACACACGACCTAATTACTTTAGTCAGTCACGGTTCACAGCTCCAGTGACAGGCTCAGTCTTCGATTTAAAAACTGCAATTAGTTTTAGATTATTAAACACTGTAGTGGCCACAACACCTGATCTTTAGAAGTTAACATCTTCTAATATAATAATATAACGCAAATGTATTACTAGATCAAAATTGTATTTGCTTGACTAGAATATACAATTCAAGTTAAAAAATGATAGAAGCAACTATAAGGTATCATAGAAAATAATCAAAATGTAGTGAAAAATCAGCCTGTGAATCAGACATGAATTGAACAAATGAATGAAAAACAGACAAATTTTGCGGTAAACGAATAAAGAAATATTAAAAATCAGATCAGCATTTCTGAATGAATAAATGTTACAGAATAAATCTGGAAAGCAATTCAACTTGTATCCGTGGAGCAGCTCACTAAGGTGACGATTTCTGCAGGTTTAAGCCATAGTCTTTGCCATATTGTCGCTTTGCAAATCTGACTCTGAATAGTAAATATATAGTGCTAGCACAATTGAAAATACCTTTCCATCTACTACGTTACAAGAACTCAGATCAAGTTTAACGTCATTGGGAACACCTAGAAAAAACGTATCAATAGAGTTGATAATTCACTTACGATTGTTACCATCAGTACCATCAGTTGTGCAAGATGTAGGCGAAAATCTAACGAAAAACGTATATAAGGTTCCCTGAACAACCTGTCTTAACGATTACGTTTCAAAGAAAAACCTCACCTTGGATGTTGCATTTATCAACTCCGTCATCTTGTGAAGCCTGTGTTTTCCATGCTCACCATTAAATTTACGAGTTATCACGGCCAACTGCTGACTCCATTCTTCATTGTTGATAGCCTCAATTTCCGTTGGAGCACCAACCATGAATCCATCACATGCAGTCAGTAGTGCTAAAGATGATAGGATAAAAATGCGAAGCATTGCAGCGTCTCTAACTCAGCATCACATCAACAGCCTTAAATATTCGCGACCAGCGGCCTTCGAAACCCAATAACTATAACGCATTCGAAACCTAACTCTATCAACTCTTCCAATATCCAATATCATTTTCACGAGCAAGAGTAAACCAATTTGATTTCTTCGCTCTCGATTCTTGTTCTTTCAGTACGGTTCCAGGTGTTCGGTAATGTCCAATGGATGGAGGTCTAGTCACTCGACTGTCTAATTCTAGTCAGTTGGCAGTTGGTTGTGAGTTTGTATGTCTCGGGATTCGAATGAAAACGTTTGTTTCAGGGCAGTAGGGTTTCTGGATATCAGCAGCCGCCGCATTACCAGACCAGAGATCAGTTAGTTGCAATGTAGAGAGTAATAAGGATAATAAGGATGAAATTCTAATGCTAATATGAATAAAATTTTAGAACTGAGTAATATATCGATGAATTTAGTTTGGTAATCGGTAGTGAAGATTGTGAGAGAGGACCGTAGTGTAAGCAAGGTAGAGGAAACAAAGAAAATAGTCGAGATAGGTTAGGTAAGTGATCTGAGGAGATGACAATGATAACAACTAGCAGGTCTCAAGATATGCATTGTAATTGGATTTTCTACCGTGGCAGTTCAATTCGATTCCAATAGACGTATGTCGGACGCACTTCCCGAATTTGAATATAAAAACACAATAATTCTAGGGGAAAATGGTCTAACGAAATTTACGCCTTCCAATTCAAAATTACTCTGAATGAGTATCAAGGTTCCGAGGTCTAGGTGAACTCCTATACTGCACGATATCAATCCAAAAATGTGGCGGTAGCCATATTATATCAAATTTAAACAACATATGTACAGTTCAGAAGCAAACATAAAAACTTCAATATAAGTACAAAATATAGAAAGAATAACAATATACAATGATAAAATCTCAAATTGGAATCAAATAAAAATACCAAAAATGTCAACAGAAAAAGTCCGTCATGTCATAACAAAAATAGGTAAACATGGAGGAATTTTTCAAAACACAAAACATTCGAAAAGGATTCTACATGCATCTTGAACAGCTTGTCCAAGTGGGAGATGATTATCCGTTTGTGATTACGTGGTTATCAGGTCTCTTCATAAAGCTGTCCATTCTTCAGTAATGCGTTAACTGGATTCTAATACATATACTGTGGACATTTATAGACTGCAGTCATAAGTATATGCTATTCTAAGGATAGTTATATCGCTGGGACTACTAACATTTTTATAATTGTGGATTTATGGTACCAAAACTAGCCGTATAATATAACGTCCCTACATTTATATTGTGTGTATTACATTTAACTGATATTTTTTGGTCCACCACAATAGTGAGAAGACAAAATATTTGTTTAGTATCCAATATGTTTTTCACGAGCTAATGTAAACCGGTTGATTTCTTTGCGCTCGATTCTCGGTCTTTCATTATGGTTCAAGTTATTTGATAGTGCTCAGTGGATGGAGGTCTAGCAATTCGACTGCAATAATTCTAGTTGGTTGCCAGTTTTTTGCGAGATTGTGTATCCCGTGTTTAGGACTAGGTTAGTGATCTAAGGAAACGACAATCATAACAGCAAGCAGGTTTGGAGACAAATATCACACAGAGCTAGTCCAAGAGAGAGATAATAATCCGTGTGTGGATACGTGTTTATCAAGTCTCCTCCTAAAGCAGCACACTGAGAGGAGCGGGCTTCTTTGTGGGTAAAAGTCTTTTATGTTACGTGGGGCACAATGTACATAAAGTGACGTTTTGACTGATTTAGTTTAGAGCCGGTTTAGAAGCTCAGTTGCATTCTGTTCGCTTCTAATGGACCATTATGTCTTTCATTATCTGAGTAGATCACTGCCGCGGAGCTTCCTTTGTCTGACAGGTCATTAGTGAATACCAGGAAGAGAAGTGGTCATAAGATGGTCTACTGTGAAACTCCTGATGCTGAGACTTACCAACTCGAGTGAACTTTATTTGCCTTGGTGAGAAAGTTTCTATTCTGAAGGTATTTTCGGAGCCAAGATAGCAGTAGGTCAGTAAAGCTCATTTCCGCAAACTTCGCAAATAAGAGTGTGTTGGTTACTGTCAGCGGCTTTTGCAAAGTTATAGAATATTATGTGCACTAGTATTTTTCGGTCCCAGCAGGATGTTCAGCTGTCGCATGCTATGAGAAGATTGGGTGCGCACGACTTGCCTTTCTGAAACCCATGTTGCGCTTCATCAAGTATTTTGTTTTTATCCATCTGTTCATTAACAGTCCTTCCATTACCTTCGATAGTATTAGCAGTAATTGGACTGATCTGTAACAGGCTGGGTCTTCTGAACCTTCTCAAGCAAACCAGATACAGATTCCAGAAGTGAGGTTTTGATATAAGGATAACTGTTCAGGAATTTTCAATACGCGTCTTGCCGAATTTAAATCCAAAACAAGAGATTGGATAGGGATCGGTTCTATAACCTACTTTACTTACTTACACCTGTTACCCCCATTGGAGCGTAGGCCGCCTACCAGATTCCTCCAACCAACTCTGTCCTGCGCTTCCCTTTCTAGTTCATTCCAGTTTCTGTTCATTCTCTCATGTCTTTCTCTATTTCTCGGCGTAATGTGTTCTTTGGCCTTCCTCATTCCTTCAGTTACTGAAATACTTTATAGGATGATTGGGTTCATATAGATGGCTAACATTTTCCACATAAAACTATCCATGATTTTCCAAACCCTGCAGTGTACAGTGCGAATCATTAGCACGAGTTACGACGAACTGCTAATGAATGCGAAACGATGCAAGGTAATGCCAGGTCTACATATAACAAGAACTGTTGAGGTAAATGTGCTAAGATCTTGTAGACAATCGTCAGCTAATAAATATACGGACTAAGTTGTTAGAAATAATGGTGATTTACAGAATATAATGATGAAAGCACAGTGATCTGATGATTTGGTGATATTTCATTTGTTGGTTTCTGACGCTGAAGTTCAAGAAGTCATGAGTGAGCTCTTTTACAACATAATTGACCAGAGCTGCTTGTATTAGGATTTCTCGGCTGGAAGTGGGACCAGTGCAAGGTTACAAACATCAGTCACAGACGTGGCTGACATGGAAAAGTAGCATCAATATCATCGATTAGTTACATCCTTCACTATCGTAAGGATCAGTAATCAAGCAAGTTGTTCTTCCCCACAGACCTGGGTAGATTTAGCTTATCGCTCCACCAACATGGATGCAGGTCATGTATTCTCTCCTCCCTCATTTTATAATGTTGTGCTCTCTTACACTTAGTGGTAGATTTTAAGTAAAGTTGTTTAGTCGGCGCTTTCTTTCACACTTTGTATGGGTACTCTTCTGTACTAGCTTCACGTTACAAGCAAACCAGATACAGATTCCAGAAGTGAGGTTTTGATATAAGGATAACTGTTCAGGAATTTTCAATACGCGTCTTGCCGAATTTAAATCCAAAACAAGAGATTGGATAGGGATCGGTTCTATAACCTACTTTACTTACTTACACCTGTTACCCCCATTGGAGCGTAGGCCGCCTACCAGATTCCTCCAACCAACTCTGTCCTGCGCTTCCCTTTCTAGTTCATTCCAGTTTCTGTTCATTCTCTCATGTCTTTGTCTATTTCTCGGCGTAATGTGTTCTTTGGCCTTCCTCATTCTTTCAATCTTGAGGGTTCCAAGTGAGGGGTTGTCTTGTAAAGCAGTTCGATGTTTTTCGCAGTGTGTGTCCTACTCACTTCCAGCGCTTCTTCCTAATTGCCTCCTCCAATAGAATCTGGTTTGTTCTCCCCCACAGTAGGTTGTCGCTGATGATGTCTGGCCAACGAATCCTAAGTATTTTGCGTAGACAACTGTTATTGAATACTTGTATCTTCTGGGAGGATGTCTTTGATATTTCTCCAAGTTTCCGCTCCATACAGTAGAACTGTCTTGACATTTGTATTGGAAATCCTATTTTTGGTGCTGATTGTTAGTTGTTTGGAGTTGCAGATGTTGTTCAGTTGTATTCGTCATTATTTATATTTATTTATATCCGCAATAGCCCAGGAGACTGATCACATGACCTTCACTATTCACAAGGAGCTCGAACTTCTTTGATAGGATTTAATGTGATAGAATTCAGCGTTAAATAGATGATGCTTTGAAATGGGCATTACTGTGAGAAACCTTTTAGATATTCAGTAATGATGCAATAACTGTGATACTGGCCACCTAATCATATGTTATTCACGGTGAATCGAATACTCAAGAACTGCGACTGAAGACACTCTCAAGTTACTATCAGACTCTGTGCTCGCCAATATTGCGTTTACAGTTCCAGAAGTACATCTGTAGGACAAATTAAATCCTACAGTTTGTCCAAAGTCATTTAAACTATAGCCAACTAATCAAATGAAATGTTATCTTTTTAGATATTTAAAGTTAATATGAATCAGAAAACAATAAAGCAAACAACTCTAATCTTATGCATATTGCAATCGATAGCTATGTAAGTTTACCTGAACAAAATACTGCATCATTGAACGTCTGTAGAATAGAGCTGTAAGAGAGTGTCTTTTTTTAGTATCGACATTCCAGAAAGTGAAAACAAGGGGCGTATTCTTTTAAACTATATCCGAAATGGTTTTATTTAGATATTAGGAATAAGCTTCGTAAGTTCAAGGTCTCACTGGTCATCAATAACTAAAGATTTTTTATCAAAAGAATAATTATACTTTAAGTTTGTAGTGTCAGTGTGCTAGAATTTTACAATATTCCTTTTTCACTAAAAACTTGTCAGAACGAAATATTGCAAAAGTTGGAAATGTTTTCAGAACTACTATTGATTATAATTTCATTACATAATTATTGAGTAGCTAGATTACTATCTGTACATATTCCCTCTCGATTAACCATCAACTGTTATCATACAACTTGCTAGTCTTGTTTTGTTATCTGTTTGCTAGTCACAGTCTCCCCTATTCATAGGAACTTTTGGTTTG